TAATATATTAACATCTGAGTGTGACAAAAAAGGGTTTTTTCCATACCTTGAGAGGTAAAAAAATTGATTCAACATTTGTTTTCAAAATAACATTTTTGTTTAAAAATTTACTTACTCATAAAAACAAAGGAGAAAACATTTAGAAGGAATAAAATAAGGCATTTATTTTTCATGAGTTGCACTAAAAAAAAAATTTGTAAGATATTCCAAGTATGTTACAGTGCAAGTATGACAAGACAAATTATATTAGAATTTAACTAGAAGTTCTATTAAGAAATATACAAGTGAAACAATGCATATAATAACTTGTTTTTTCCCCAGAGATGCATTTGAGATTTACGGCACTATACATCAAGCTGGTATAAACTGGAAAAAAGATATCATTATTTTTTAGGTTGGAATGTGTATACAAAAAGTGACAGATTTATGTTAGTAAACAATTTGATAGAATTTTGGGATAAAATTATATTAACAATAGTATGGTATTTGTGTTAATATACAAGTGTCAGAGGATAAAGGTTTTAGCCAGTAGAGTGATGACATCTATGTGTGCATGAACTAAGAAATTTATGTATAAAAATTATCAGAACTATAAAAAAGCATGATTAAGAAATAGTTATTTGGAACTGATATTGAATGCCAAGTAATCATTATCTTTCTGCTAAGCTGTGAAGCTTTTGAGAATACAAGTTAGCAGCTAGTGAGCTATTTTTCCAGTTGGAGCACTTGTTCCAAGTTTTAGTGATAAGCAAAGTTATCAAAATCATAATCTGTTTGGTTTCCATTTGCAGGTGTACACAATGCCATTATTAATTCTTGCATTTAGAATGCTGAATTAATTTAAGGAACAGATGTGTAACTGGTCCTTTCTCTACACGACCGTCACTGTCTGGTTGCAGTACATCAGTATTTTTCAGGCAATTAATTTTGAAAATGATAAAATAATTTTTAAAAATTTGGACTCAGACCAATACTTCCCCCACCAAAGACTTGCATTTACCATCAGAGAAAAGCAACAGCATGTTACTAGACATATTAATATTCATTAATTAATAAATATAAAGAAATATATATATGTACAAACTATGCCTCAGAGCACAATAAGAGACGTAGCACACAATGGTACTGTATTGCCAGGTTTCACTGAAGTCACAGAGAAAAAAGTGTGATGTGGACATCCAACAGTTTCTTTGTCCATTTACACTGAATATATTCCGTGAAATTACCAGCACAAGAAACATTACACTGAGGTACCTCATCCTGATTTTCATTATGTTTTGGAGCTAAATCTAAGGCCCTTTAAGATTCTGAAAAAAACTCCTACTACACTAAAGAACAGGGTTCTAGGACTAAAAAAGATAGCTTTGGAAATCAAAACAGATGTTCTTGCAAGACGGCAAAGCCAGTGTTGTAGATTTAAATGATCCGGAGAAGTTGCAAGCTGAAACTTTCAGAGATTTGCCAGCAAAACTTAGCAGTAAAAATCTGGTTAATATTAAAAGCAGAGATGCTTTTTCAACATAATCCTAAATGGATTTGTTGTATCTCATTTTCTTAAGCAGCTTCAGCAAAGAAGTAGAATGAGAAAAAGCAGCATGCTTTTACTGTCTCCACTACAGAAAACTATGTGGAAAAAACCCCCAAACCTGTAGGTCTAGATCAAGTCCCAGAAAGCTCCTATTTTTAATTGATTATAATTAGCAATAGAGTATCAACTAAGAATATGGAATCTAAACTGTCTTAACTTTGTAAACTCAGGCCCATCTGCTGGTCAAAGCTGAAACAAAGATCTCATGTTTATGCTTAAGGAAGCTTGAGTCCGGCTGTGCACCAGGCGTTAGAGTGTGTTAGGCGTTTCTTCTCCTAATACATCACAAAACTGTTTCTGAAAAAAATAAAATAAATAGATTCTGCTAATTTCAGTGTAGGTAATATATATTTAGTTATTTTTCCTTTACAAAAGTCAAGCAAATGGTTAATTCTTTATTGATCTGTTCTAGTATTCCCAGCTGTACAAGGAAAGAAGTGGAGAATAAAGCAGAGGCAGTTTCATTGTATGATATAATAAGCAAGATTATTGGCTGAAGAAGTCTTTTATCAATGCAAAATACGTGGAGGAAAAAATATCACAGAAATTATGTTATTGGCACATTGATAAATGACATGCCTACTTATCTGGGATCCCTGCCAAGGGACAGATCCAGTTTCATGCAGGGTTCCAGTCCCCCTTAACAGCACCAGCAGATAAAGTGGCAAGCAGTTTATTTTGTGGTGCTTGCAGATCTCTCCATATGTGGAACGGTAGGATAAATGTCCTTTAGTCATGCCATTATTGATCATTCTGGCATTAGTCTTACCAAGTCAAAGTCATCTAATATAGATGTTACACATGTTGCAATTGATTTAAATTTTTTAATTATTTGCCTGGGTGCTGCTTAAAATAATTTAAATAATCTCAATTTAGTGGAAATTAATATGTCATAATCAAGGTATTTGTTAATTATGGAAAGGTACATTTAAAATACGAAGACAGTAACAACAGACACTTCCACTGATGCCACAGTGCTTTTACCCCATGTTAAAAACCCAGACACAGTGGTGTTTTAGCTGAATTTCCCACTAAAGCCCTACACCGTATTCTTATATTGGGCAGCTTCAATGACTCAGAGGAAACCTTACAAAATACGGCTTTCTGACTAGATATTATTCTATTTAGGAAGATTATTGATCCAGCTCCTCTCTAAACTATGCCATTTCCCACCTGGAACAGCTTAAAGAAGGAAGAATGCATATTTAAGACCACTTGTCTTTATAAGAAATTTATGATGATGGTGGAAAATGGAAAGGGACTGCATTTGCCATCAAAATCTCTTTAAAGCTGCCTTTTCATAGTGAATTATCAAAAACTAACAGAATTTCAACAGAACTTGCTGAATCAAATTCTCCTTTCCTTATGACCTCTTCTGCTGTTTGCTATTATCTTTCATTTTATCTCCTCTTTCCTTCTTTGTTTTTTTTTGTTTCCTTTGGCCACTCAATAAACAGACCTTTGCACACCAAATGGATCCCCCATCTTCCCCTCCCAGGTGAATACTGTAACCACTAGGCTGTAAAATGTCTCTCTCTCAAACTACTCTAAAGACAGAAGTGTGGTTTTAATAGGAAAGGAGTAAAGTGATTCCAGTTCAGCCCCTCTGCAGGTGGAGTTGTAGATCTGAAGTCTTTCAGGCAGCCAGAGCTGGCTCAGACTTCTCAGTTATGTCAGCAAAAATGAATTTTGCCTTCTGAATACTACCATGGGTGAGAGACACCCTTGCCATGGATTAGGATGGAAGGAGGAGGAGTGGCACCAGACTGAGTAGGACAATGGAGAACTCACAGATCCTGTGCAGATCCACAGATCCCAAGACATTGCAGCACTGACTGGGTGTGAATCCCATCCAGAAGCAGAGCCTGCCCCACCACACTCACCTTTTCTGTAGCAACTCAGGAACAGTCATGTTGCTGCTCTACACAACTCCTTGCTTTGACTATTTCTGAAGATAGCCCCATCAGCAGTGAAGGGCTTCCAATCTCACTTTCTTGAGCATGTTCAGAAACTGCTTTGCTAACTGTGAACTTCTCCAGCCAAATGCCAATAAAGTTATTAGCTCTCCCTGTATTTTCAGAAGAGTCTCAACCCAGCAGCCACTATCCAGTACCATCTTCAAGCATTTCCTGCAGTCAGATCTTTAAAGGATTCAGAAATTGATACAAGATCTACTTTCTTGCTTCCAGATGGTCTAAACTACTCTTACGGATCAAGCCTGGGAAAATTCTAATTAAATAAAAGGAGCCAAGATGCCTGGGAGCCAACATTCAGCAGATGAGCCACAGTTTATAATCTCAGATTTTGATCCACAGGCTCAAATTCATTCTAGGTCTTTCTTTAGGTCCATTCATGTTTTGACAGCACGAAGTTTTATATGAACCTCATCAATTGCCGTACACACATTAAACAGCAGACCTTTACCTGTAGGTGCAAGTGCACTTAATACAGCACTAACAACGTGTCACAAGATAACAGCACGTCACAAAAGAAAGTACATTTCTGTATAAGCTTTCTCTGATAAATCTTTTTGACCACACAGCCTATTCACTAAGCCTGCATAGGCAACAAAGAATGACTTAGGTTAACATAATGGTGAAATGGGGGCCTGTCATGGGGTAGCTTTACCTTTAAGACAGCTTGGAGGGAGAGGAAGTTGAAGCTGCTGGTGGCTGATGGGAGTTTTTCTTATTCTTGTAGTTTGTTAATAAACTGTCTTTATTCCTTTTAAGTCTTAAGCCTGTTTTGCTCTTGTTCTAATCCATACCTCACAACAAGAAATAAGTAGTTTTTTTAGTTACTGGTTTAAAACCACAACAGGGCCCAACAACTGAAGCCTTATAACCTCCAAAAACACAACACAGTATAAGCTGTCCTAATTGATATGAAGACTAATGCACCGTGTTGAGGTGTAAAACAATGCCCAAATCCTTCTCTTTCCTGCTCCCTGCTTATATAAGATTAACACTTTGCAAAACTACTTGCAAGAGTCAAATTTTGAGAAAAGGCCCATACATTTTTTAGATAGTTTTACATCCAAAAGACAGCATATCATCCTGTACTGAAAAATATAGGAGTACCAAGACTTCTAAACAAATAAGGTGAGTAGATATGATGATTAGCTTGCCTTTATAACAGTCAGGGGTCTGCTATTCTGGCAAAATTTTATTTGTTATTTATTAATTTTTTTAATCATTCATTATTATTTTATTATTTTACTATATTGTCAGAACAATATTATTATATTATAATGGAAAAAGCATAAAGCAGGGTACAAAGATACAAATATAACAGTTAATTATCCACATTTCTGTATAGCTTGTTTCAATGCATGCATTTAGTTATAACTACAGAACTGTTTAGACCTATTAAGAGCTAGAACACAAAACTAAGTTTTCTTAGATAAAAATAATGGTTTTTACAACATGTTTATTTTTTTAATTTATATTAATTACTCCATGTATGTTCAAAACATACTGACAGCTAGATATGGAAAAGTAATGTCTATTTAAAAAAAAACAAACAAGAACAGAAAGATGTAATTTCTGGTAGACCTTGAAACAATCACCAGCTAGGACAGGACTCCATAACCTTCAGGTTTCAGGAAAGAATATCCCTGTAATTAAAATGGAACAGAGCTTGGGGAGTCAAGAAATTGCAGGAGAACAAAAACATCAGGCTAAAAGCAGTAAATCAAGAGCTGACTCCAGGGAAGAAGGGGTAGATCAAGTGGGGCTGGATAATGGGACAAAAATTCATAAGAGTTGGGCAGAGATGTGCAAACTGGAAAGCACAGTAACACAGCAGGAGAACTGAGAGGAGCACCAAGCAGAAAATGTAACTTTTGTATTCCTTGGATCCAACTAAACTGTCTGGAGAATCAGGACCAATAAGTACTGTCTTATTTATTTTTTAAAATTCATGTTCCTAATGTATTAGGGGTCTTTGGAAACTATAATAAAACAATTTTTCTATTATAAACTTAACAGTCATGGATACCCACTAAATACATGTTTCCAAAAAGACTGCATGGCTCAACTCTAAACGCACATGAGACATTCTACTTTCATCCAGAGGGAGACAGTAACCACAGCACACACAAAAACATTTTACAATAGGTTAATTCTGGATTTCATTTGTTAAATTCTGCCATTTGTTCTCTTCCTGGCTTATTTCCTGTGAAGAAAGATGACTTTAAAAGGTCTCAGCTACCATATGTTTAAGTGAGGACTTTGGTCAGGGTAGAGGGAGTTTTCATGCCTATGTAAGGTCAGAAAAGCAATCTGTGGTTAAACATGTCAGATAATACTGTTGGAAAAGGTCCAGCTCTAATTGACAATGAATTGACACGCTTACATTCTTTAGGTTTGAACTGTGCTGCAAGATGCAGATCATATGAGTTCCACCTGAATTGAGATGAATACTCAATAAATCTCTGTTAAATGTCTGCTCTCCAGCACAGTGTCTAGGGGTGCCTACAGTCAACTTTTATCTCCATTTTGGATTATACTGTCTCCTAAGCACTGAGTCAGTCATGGAAATGCATTACCTTTTTCTAAGATAACCCTAACACATATCTTAATCTGGGATGGGAGGTGGCTGAAGACACATCTAATTGTCTCTATTCCATCATGCACACATAGACCTTCCCTCAAGACACTCGGACAATGATGAATTCAGTCTAGCCCAGTGCTCAGTCACACACATAGTAAAATACCTTTCTCTTCCAGAAACTGAGTACCAGAAAATTCACTCAGCTAAAAGCTAAGAGACCAAAGTCCTAGATACTCCTGCAGCCTGCAGGAGTTGAAATCTCCTTGTTGAAAGCTCCCACTTTTCTGGGAAAGACCCTTTACCCCTGGAATATTGATTAGGCTTAGAACTGGTTCACCTTTCATCTTACCAGAAAAGGTGAGGGCAGCACCCAAATTACAGAAGCAGTAATACTCCATGTGCCATTGTCCCACATAGGACAACATCCAACTTTAAGCATTCTTCATACTTTTAATTCTTATCTCTTTACTGCCTGGGTAGATAGGGAGTCAGATAACTAGTTTATATGTTTTAAACTATCCTTGCTATGACCTTAGGTCTATGTTCATTCAGGTGCCATGTGTCTAATGGGGGACGTCTGATCCTGACCACGATTTCAACCTTGCTATGGTTTAAGCCCACTGCAGCAGCAGAAGAATGCTGGCAACCATTGCAGACACTGTAAAAAAAAAACACACAGCATATCAAATACAAATATGAAAAATTATAAAACACTAAAACCCAATGGTTGTGAAAGGGAAGGTTAAAATTATTGATTATTGTTGTTGCTAGTTCGTTCCCAATATAGTAGTCTACTACTTCATCCTCATATGTATCCCTTCTATAAACAATCAGAAAAAGCTTACCATGTGCTTGCAATAATAATGCTATCCAGAATAGCAGAAATCTCATTCTTAGCAAGAGAAGACATAAAGTCAACATCTTTCAAGACCACCAAGGACCCCAGCTCTCTTCAGGTCTATTTGCTACTGGTAAATGCAAAATAAGAAGAAGAAATAATTGCATTTGTGAAGAAAATGTTGATAAAGTTCATTTATGAAGTTGCATCAACAACATCTGCAGTAGCCATTTGACTCAGTTTACTTCTTCATAATGCACCTTAAAACAGTAAGCAGGGTAAGAAGAGTGTTTCAGTGACAGCTGTAGTAGACACTGTTTGCCTTTGGCAAGATCCTGTTCGGTACCCAATGTCACAATTTACCTATAGGAGTTACTATCAAATAAAGTTAGTTCAGACTTTTATGAACCTAATCAAAGTGAAATCTAAATTATGTATTTAAATAATATGTTCTCTCCAACAAGTGAGAGTTCTACCCCTCATGTCTGCTTTCTGGTATATTATAGATATGAATGTAAAGTAAGTGAAACTACGCCTCACTGGAATCAGGAATACTAGTTTTACTCACAGTAAAATTTGAGAGAATGGTGTAAGATGGCCAGATTGGTTATATTTACAAAGCTCTATCCTATGCTGTCACACAGAATTCTAAAGGAATGAGAAGAAAGAATATGTTTCTTTGCACCATGCATCTATCAAATCAGTATGTACCAATTTATCTCTTTTCCTGTCATGATAAATTAAGCAAAAATTGCAAAATTCAGTTGGCAAATGAAATGGTCAGAATACTGGCACTTGACTACACATGGTTGCAATCTGAATCTCACTCTCTCCTCAAATGTGAAACTTTCTTATAAAAATGTTCTGTGACTATGGAAATGTATCTGCATTCTACCCTCTCCTGAGCCCATTAAGGTAACTGATAGACCTTAGATTACAGTGACTTGAAAAAAATTACTTTTTTAGTATATAAAAAAAAAGACATTCAGCAAATAGAAAAGAAAAAAACCTACCTTTTCAGTAAAAACAGAAGGCAACAGAAGCTTTGGAACAAGTGCTTGCCAATAGAAGGATTTCATGCTCTTGTTAATTAAAGGAACAAAGAAAAAAACAGTGCAGTAGCCTGTATCCTACATAACAGCTTCTACTAATAAAAAGTAATAGACAATTTCCTGCATTCAATTCTTTTGAATACTATTATACAAGGTAATAGAGTTTTGGAAATGGAAGTCCTAGCAGCCTGTCAGAAAGAGCTTTCTTCCACTTTTTTTTATTAAATGACTAAGTGCAGCAGTCTGTGTCCTATCTCTCCCTCTTGCATCTATTGGATTGTATTATTTTACATTTTGATTGAAATGATGTCACCAGCAGATAAAAGCCTGGCCCAGGCATTGTAATTGAATCAGCCTGAGTTGTTTATTCTAGTGATCTACAGCGATGCTTTCCTTGTCCTAACACAGAATACATAAAAGATCCCCTCTTGTTTAACATGCTACTGATTAGATCTATATTTTTTTTTAGAAGAAGGAGAAATCAAATTGGGGGGTCGAGAGAGTAAGAACTGGAGTTTAGGGGGAAAATTGGAAAAAACAGATGAGAAGAGACACCATCTGCAAAACTTTCCATGTGTGACTGAAAGTTTAAACAAATAAATTTCACACAGCATCAGTACCAGATGCAAACAGATTTGATTGACAACATTTAAATAACAGTTAATGGGAACATCTACAATTTTTGGAAGTTTTTTCATGCTTAGGTCATAAATCAGACACGTTCAAGTTTTTATTTAAAAATATGTTAATCTTGAATATTTTAAATTATTTGGGGGTTTACTGCTCTAAAAATATGGTGTGTTGGATGTTTAATTATTGTTATTAACATGTTCTGTTTTCACTTAAAGCATCTTACATTTAAAAAAGAGTTAAAATAACTTTCCATTTTACAAATTGTTTCTGAAGTTGCTTTCTTTGGTAATTATTTTAAGAGAAAGCCTGTCTTTTATGCTAATTGCTGTTTCTTTGTTTTTTGTAGTTGCCCCTCACACATGCCCCTGCCCCCTCTCTACCCGCCCCAAAAAGCTTCACTCAAATAAAGGAAAAATTTCACTATTTTATGTATGTCATGTGCATACCTTCACACAAAACTTCCTCAACAGCATTTTTGGTGGCGGTAGGGGTGTGTTTTCTGTTTTTGGTTTGGTTTGGGATTTTTTACTTCTGGGTTTTTCCTTAAAATAAAGTACAATCATATGAGGTTTAGTAGTAGTGCCAAGATGAAAATAAGCCAAGCCCATCAGGCAATTTCCAGAACTGTTTTCTACTTTAAATCTATGTTTTTAATTGTTTGCCTCAAGTCTGAAGCTGGGAGCTTATTTAATTTGCTATCTGTATGAGAAGGAAACCAAGATGTAATTTGAGAAAGTATTTAAGAGATAAATATATATTTTTGAATGCAAATAAAAAACTATTCACAAGTACAATTAATAAAATATTCTAATGAAAATGGCTATTAGAGATATTAGTGAAAATTTTTATTTTGGTAACTCTTTATAATCCATTTTTTAATGTGGGAAACATTTCTAACAAGACTATTTTCTACATGTGAAAATTTAAGCTAGCAAAAAAGGTTTTTTTAAAGGAAAATAAAAATCTATCTACAATCTCTCTATATAGCTTAATTTACTGCTATTTCCTGAAAATTTGCTACAATTTATAAATAAAAAATACATTTTCCATACCATTTACAGTCTATTTAGCACACCTGAATTATAAAATTCACTTCATAATAACTGCATAACAAAAGGACCTTAGAGACCTTCATTTTTTTGTAAATCATTTATTGTTCTGAAGGTATCAGTATTTGAAAGCATTTGTAAAATGTGCTTATTAATATTTCTAGTCAGTGATGAACTCAGATGTAGGAAGTTACAGGACACACTATCCACACTAATTGATGTGTTTGCAGTGTCTTGCAATGAATGTATTTTGGCTGAAGTTAACCCTTTAATTTGGGTTGACTAGATCGAGTTGGGTAACACTTTGCAGTTATCTTGGTTTCCAACACTGCTACTCACTGTGAAAGCACTCATTCTTAAAAACAAAACTGAAATAAAGAAGAAATTAATTCAGATCTGTAATTAATAATTTTAAAATAAAATAAACTCAATGCTTTATTTATATATATAAATGTGTATCACAGTTGGCCTTATATCATAGAGACATACTATTCTGTGACCAAATAGAGAGACCCAGACTCACCAAAGCAGCAATCCATATTCAGTCCCCAGAGCTGGTTAAATATAATTTGCATCACAGAGGTTACACATTTGGTCTCTGGAAAAAAAAAAAAAAAAGTAGGCAATGTTGATTTAGCCTCCCTTCAATACTCCCCAGCAGCTGCCTCAGGGAATACCACTCAGAGGAGCATCCCAATATGCCATGCTTTTTCTCACCATCACATTACTTTCTTGTTAAAGCATAAACGGTTGGAAAAGGCAAATTGATTTCAACAAAGGAAAACCATTGTGAACATGAGCTCCAGCATTCAATCCCCCTAAACATGAACAGAGATTTATTTATAATTCACATATGCAGAATTTATTTTTTAATAGCAATTTTCATGATTTTTGGAGTTTCCGCTGTGAATTCCTCTGATGTCTGGAGGTCTGGCAAACATCCTAATACCATCAGTGGGATTCCCTATTTTAATAGGAGTTGTTTCAGACACTGCCAGCAGAAAGGTGTGAAGGAAAAAGAAAAGCCTATAACTTCCATTTATTGTTTGTAGCCATTTCCTTTCATTATTTGTAGACAGTATCTTATGAGAGGCTTTCCTTGTGAGATTTGCAGCCACAAGCACATTTGATAAACCAGTTAGGGAGTTGTGCAATCTGACCAAAATCAAATTAAACTTTCAAACCTATTAAAGCTTGCAAAAAGAAATGTTAGCTGGCAAAACATAACACCAAGAAGTGAAAAAAGTGACCACAAAACAGACAGCCAAACAGTCAGAAATGCAGCAAGACATGAGAGAGATGACCCATGGCTGTTTGCTGGATTTAAATAACTTCATATTAAATAACTTCATATACACTCAAATCCCAGTATTAATGATGCTTAAGCTGGAAGATAGACCCTACACACTTCCTTCCCCCAGTGCTCTAAGCATTTGGAAGTCATCTCTATGATCAACAACAAGATCACATACGAGAGTAATTTGTTGGGGTTTATGGGTTGGGACAGCAAAACTGAGGTTCAGAAAAACATAGGTTTCATGTTAAATAATGTGCTTTTAAATCCTGAATTTTTTATTTTTTTTTTTTTCTTTAACTCATTCTTTAACTCATTTATTTATACATTTAACTCAGCTTGTATTGGTAGAGACATTACTTATATTTCAGGACTGTCTTAAATCACAAAACTAGGCTTGAATACAAAATAAAATGACAAGCAAGATGCTGAAATTTCAAGTATATCATGTCCCTAACCAAGGCATGTAATACAGGAAGAAATAGAGTGTTCATGATAAGAAATGATAATAAGTTTCCTCGATCAATTGTCTTGTTTTGGATAGAAACAATACATCACAACTTAAATCCAATTCTTGCTAAAGCAACTCAAGTAAGAGACCAGGTTTTCAAAAATGCTGTGCCCCAGCAGACTGCCCTGAAGTCAATTACCTAGAAAGATAATTGACTATCCAATGATAGTACCAATATACTATCATGCTGTTGAAAATTCTGAGCCAGACAATGTGAATAACCGCCAAGATAGCCAAGTACACATAGGTCCTTCTGCTTTTTCTCAAAACTGATGCTACAGCTCTGTTTTGTCTTTTCTTTAAAAAATAATTAGTTGTAGCAGCTATGCAGCTCCTTCAGAAAATCAAAAAGAACCCCAAAAACCTGTGACAATCTTGCATTAAGGAACAGTAAGAAAATCCATAAAAATAAAGATGTTAGTGTCAGTCTTTAAGGGGTTATTATACACTAGAACAAATGTAGAGATATTAATAATTCTTTGGCTATATATATGCATATATATACATACACAGGAACATACACATCAGAAAAGCATAGGGTGCAATTTCCTTCTATATTATTTATGAAAATATTTAAAACCTGATTAATTGCATTGAACAAAATGTGATTTTTTCATAGAATATACTGCAGCTGAGAGAGAATGTGTCTGTGTAGCATATTTTTTCGTCCAAAATGTGCATATTTAAAAAAAAAAAAGTTTACATGTCATCCTGTTCCATCTTTGCATGTACTTGCTCTTTATCTCTAAAGCAGCATACATTCCATATGAGAGAGGGGGTTGCCATGGTATCTGCACTTTAAAAAATTGAATAGCAGATCTAAAAGAAGCATAAAATCGATTTAACAAGTTGTCATGTAAGTTACCCTGGCCCATAAGGATGAAGTCTATGCACCTATTTCTACATATAATATGTTTATAAAAAAAAAACAAAAAAAAAACCCAACCAGAAACAAGTC